ACGTAAAGAATTGAAATGAACTTCACTGAATGCGCTCATCGAAAATTCATGTTTTACTTTGTTTTGTTAGTGTGGTGCAGGGGTTGTGATAAAAACCCTCATTCGAAACAAAAATAGTTAAAAGAAATGGATAGTAAATAACAAGCAATTAGGACACGTGCAAATAAAAGCACATTACTTCTTCGCCGTCACGCTCTGCAATAAGTTCAGCGATGAAATTAAAAGGAATGTTAGGATAAGTTCATTATATTCAATCTACCTTTGGATCATTGATAAAATCAAGGAAGGGGGTAATGGGAAGAAAGATTCCGCGACCACCTGTTGACGTTCCATTTACACCCTGGTTTATGCCCATGATTTTGTCATACTTTTCTGTGACAACTCGTCTGCTAGGATCGCCAGGTGGTTCAACAATTTCACCATCCGGCGTATCTCCACCGGTCATGAAGAACACTGCCTGATTTGGTAGCTTAGATGACATATACTTTGCATCACAACGTCTTAATAAGTTTGGTTCGCGCACTACCCCATAACCATTGGAGTAGAATGGTTTGTACTTTTTTCCGCCATTTTGAAAGTTTTTAATTGCATACTTTTAGGGGTATAGTTGAGCTTTGAAATATTCGATTACATAACCTTTCAATATCTATTATCATTATAACCGTGAAATCGACATTTATAAAAAAGTTCCTACATTACATAAATGAGATGGTGGATGTGCATTTTTTTGAAATAATATACTGTCTGCCTGAAGATCATCCAGTTGAACAATATTTTTCAAGATTTCGAGTTATTAGAGGTGTGCCTGCTATATCAATTTTTGCAATTATTTCGTAATTTGTATCTGTAATGAATTTTATTAGAGGTGAAAGTTTTTGTTTATATACAATACTAGCTTTACCCTGCGTGCTTCGCTACGCTATTATGGCTTGGAATTAATCTTCATCTTATCTGATGTGTCTGACGTTAATGCATTTATAAATTCGGAAATGTAGTGGCTTTTTATAATTTTAAGTTTATGTTATATAAAGATGATGTTTAAAAGGCAATGAATTTAATAAAATGTTGTGGTCAACTTGTATTTCAATAATATAATTGTATGATGATTTTTACTATTATGAAATCATATTCATTATCTTTAAAATACAAAATATTGATATTAAAGAAATCAATTCTTCCTTGAAAATCTTGTCAGAGTTACAAATCTATTGACTAGATCGAGAGGAGAGTAAGTTCATCTGACTTTGTTACGAAAGAGGAGAGTAAGTTTCTTTCCACTCAAAAATGGTTAAAGGCGAGTATGTTCACTTTTGGCGGGTCCTCGCGGTTTTCCACGGTTTCCGCGGAATTAATAAGAGATAACAACTTGGTGTCTTCGGCAAAGTTGTAGCACTTGAGGTCTTCTATAACATCGCTGAAGACATCTATCTCTTATCAGTTCCGCGAAAAGCGCGAAAAATGATAAGAAAAAAAAAGTTCTAAATAAAATTTGCTTTTTTATGTGCGCGATTTGCGCGCAACTGATAAGAGATAAGAGATAGATGTCTTCAGCAATGTTATAGAAGACCTCGAGTACTACAACTTTGCCGAAGACACCATGTTGTTATCTTTTATCAGTTCCGCGGAAACCGTGAAAAACCGCGGAGGCTAGACGGGATGCCAACATACTTCCTTTTAACGCAGATAGAATCAACAGAAATCATACTCTCCTCTTTCAAAATATATTCGAATTTTTTCACATACTCTCCTCTCGATCTAGTCAATAGAAATGTGTTTGTGTCAGTTGTCTTGTCATATCATTTTTATAAATTTCATTGCGCAATTTGTTTTTATTTTTACTGTGACATAAAAATGTCGTTTAAATCATTTATTTCAGTAGATTTAAATTTGTCCCCCAAAAAAACTACAAATCCTTTTGAGTATACTATTTATTCGACAAACAATGGAATTCGAGTTGCTAAGAAGCTACGCAAAATGGGTTCTTCAAGACGCACTGGATTTACGTTCAAGATGTTCAATAAGCGCTTGCTTAAAAAGTCGATGAAGAAACAATTGTTCCACGTGAATAGTGTTGGCCGTCGAACACATCCGAACACTTGTTCGACCGTTCGTCAACATAAAAAAAATCTGTTTTGTTCGTTCGTTCGTTCGAACAATTGAAAAAAAATTATTTTGTTCGTTCGTTCGTTCGTGAAATAGAAAAAAAAAAATTTGTTCGTTCGTTCGTTCGTTGATTAAGAAAAAAAAGTGTTGTTCGTTCGTTCGTTCGGATAATATGCTATGTTCGACCGTTCGGATTTTTTACATTTGAAATACATAGGAAGTAAATACAATTTTGATTTCTTTGGATAAGACTGAAGGTACAACGTTATTACCGGTGTTATTACTCAGTAATACCACTGTGTTTGTCCAAATAGGTGAATATTATTAATTTACATGAATTTAAGTATTAGGCAAACATAATCAATAGAACTAATCATTTGTACATTTGGCGGCTCCCAATACTTCAATTTAACACATTGGTTTTCGAAAAAGTAGAGTATGTTTGCATTAATGGTTGAAAATATTAAGTTCTTTCGACGAAGAGTATCAGGAGTTCATAAGTATCAGTACGTAGTCGAGCTCCGCTTATTGTACGGCATTAGCATAAACGAACAACATACGGATCAATGTATAAGAGTGAAATGACAACATCACTGAAACCGTAGCGCATGGAAAATAACACAGAAGAAATGCGACAACAAACGAACATTGCGAAATTGCAACGCATCGGGGAGAGTGAGAGAATCTGTGCTGTTCGCACAACAGCAAATATTCATAACACGTTGACACTGACTCAGTGAAGAAAACCAATACCAACGCAAATTAAAACAATTGATTTGTATTGCTGACATCACTGAGTCGGAACGAACGAACGGACGTTCGGAGCCAACACTACACGTGAATTCAATACCGAATGCGGAAATTGTGCTTCGAAAATTTCATCCAAAGAAAGACAGGAAGGAAGTGTATTGTAAGGCTTTGTGTGATCATCTTCAAACATCCATTGCTGATGGTATGCGGAATTTGTCTTTAAAACGAAAAGTCGATGCAATTGATTCAGACGTTCAAAGAATGCCACCTAATTCGAAGAAAACCAGAGTCGCTTGAAAATTTCGTTGATAATTTTTTTGAATATATATGAAAATAAAAACACATTCTATAAGTCATAAAATGAAATAAGCATTATGTGTTTTTTGAATAAATTTGTTTCAGTGTTTTTCTATCATTTGAACAGATTTTATGAGTGTAATCAGTTTGTGTGTTGTTCAACTGAAATGAATTGCTTTTATCATTGAATTTTTAAAAAAAATTTCAATTCACTCTAATGTATTTCATGAATAGGCTTGATACTATTTTCTTTTTGACACATAGGCTTTTTCAAAATGATTTGCCTATTTTATGAAATTGTAGTATACTTATGTTTTTACTTCATTTTAAATTCATTGTGAACAGATTCATTTCGAAAACGTTATGAGGTTGTTTGATTTTATTTATTCTGAAAAAGTTTAAATATATAAAAAATGACTATTAATGAAGAGTATCTCGAATGGGTCAATAACCACTTCAATGACGATCCATACTGGGAAGGTGCTATGTGCACAGTAGAGGAAATGGTCACTGCAAATATTATCAAGTCAAAGACCGGATCCAAACGGAAGGGAAATTCTGAAGCTTCATTGTCTAAACGGATTAAATTCGAATCGGAGGCGAATCTGCGTTTATCAATGGAAAATCTTTCTATTGAAGTTGATGGTGTAAAGAAACGAAAAAAGAAGAATCAGAAAAAGGGGATTAAGAAACAACGCATTCAAAGAGAGACGAAGAAGCGTTCAAATGATGATGTCAAAGCTGCCGTCAAAAAGATGAAATTATGAACGTGTTCATGACGGAGAATTGTGTGTTTTCAGTTCGAAATAAAAATACAAAGTTTTCAATTATTACAATAAAAATTTGGATCGATATAAAACCTGAAAAACCAATATCTTTTTTCTTGGTTAATAAAAAACAATGTTTATATGCAGTGAATTTTTTCATTTATTGATGCTTTTTGTGACATTCTTTTGGGTTTTTCATTGGCTTGATTTGATTTGAGTTGCAATACTTTCCACATACGCTTCATATGCCTCGTTCATTTGAGCATTTTCTCGTTTTTTAGATATTCGCTTCGATCTACTGGGTTGTCTTGCTTTGTTTTCTTCTTCGATTTTTTTTTTCCAGCAATATATCACATTGGAGATTTCGTTCTTGCTCCATAATCAGGTTTTGGTTGTCCATTATTCAATCATCAAAAGTCATCGTTGTCATTTTTTTTTCAATGTTCTATAGATTTTAACCAAATGATCGAACAATGTGTGCTGTAATGGTTTGACGTGATGATTGAATTTCAGTGGTTATTAATTTATGTTGAATTTATGTCGATGGATTTATTTTTGTTCAGAAAATTTAAGAAAGGTCAGTTTTCTATTTATTGTTTTATTAAAGCAGGTCAGTCATTTTTTTTTCTCATTTGAAAGAGGAACAGAACTGGATATAAAAAATGTAAATGTGATTTCTTAAATGAAAAATTCGTTTTATTGAACGTAGTCCATTTTAATGGTTTGTTGTTAAATTTATTGCAATACATTTGGATACACAATATTTTTAGTTGTTCCATCCGGTGTAAAAACATATAAGTCAGATGGTTTTCCAACGCGTGAACATGCTACGTATAATTGTCCATGTGAGAAGCATGGATTTTCTAAATTTAATGCACATACTTGAAGCGATTGTCCTTGCGCTTTATTGATTGTCATTGCAAAAGCGAGTCGTATCAGAAACTGTAAACGCTTGAATTCAAATGGCATATCTGTTGATATCATTGGTATGCGTGGAAGCAGCACATTGTCCCCTTTGTATTTGCCAGTTATTATTGTTGCTTCGATGATATTGTTCATCAACTTTTTCACAGCAAGCCTAGTTCAATTACATAAGCGTGGCGGATTGATATTTCGAAGAAGAATAACAGGAACTTCAATTTTCAATTTAAGACTGTGTGGCAGCATTCCTGGTAAATCGATTGAATTCAAGAATTCAGTAGGATAATTCACAGCATCGTCTTGATTCATAATATTATCGATTGAATTATAAGTTATAGTTTCACCAGGCAACTGATTTTGAATGGTAATATTTATTTCATTCACGTCAACGTTTTTAGCAGCTAATATTGCACGTTCACTAATCCACTGATGAACTTTGTAATTTTGTGTGATATTCGGGAATGCACAATGAATTAAATCTTTTTTTGTTTCCTTGTGATTACAAAAATCTGGTGGGAATGAAAAACGTTTTGTTGATGCATCCATTGGTATTTTTCCATTTCCAATGTCTAACAACTGTTTCGCAAAACGTGCTGCTGAAGGATCATTTTGTAATTGTACACGCATATTTGTGGTTAAATTTAATTTTTGTACACGTGTCCATAAACGTGAAGATTTGAGGCATGCATCAATTTCATCGGCAGATGTTGAACGTGGTATAACTTAACGTAAAGTTTGACGGAAATCACCTGATAATAAAATGAGTACACCACCGAAGGGCTGCGTATTTCCTCTTATGTCTTGTAGAGTTCTATCTAGTGCTTCTAAAGACTTAAAATGCGCCATTGTAACTTCATCCCATATAATGATTGCGCATTTTCGGAGTACTTCACCCATTGCTGAATTTTTCGAAAGTCCGCATTTTTTTTGTTCATCACCATTCGAAGCACTACATGAAATGTAGAGACATTAGATTTGATGTTATTCCAAGACAGATGAACCGAAATGGCATCCATATTTATCTTCGTCCCAAAATCTTTCATTTTATGTTCATATCGACTAAAACAGTGTCAAGTCGTGTTAACACGACCGTGATGGAATCGGATAGTGACCATGTTCATCTCCGTCCCAATTCCTTTTATTTGATACCCATATCGACTAAATTGGTGTCAAGTCATGTTAACACGACCGTGATGAACTCAATTTATAACAGCTGCGATCGGTGTTTCAGTCAAATTGAAAGACAGAAAAAATGCACTGAAAATATTTTTATACCATTGCATTGGCAAAATATAATGGAGCAAGCTAAGAAAAAAGACCCCAAATATATAGTCAATAAAATGCGTGCCGAAGATTTTGTGTTGTCCTTGCCTTTAGAATCATTAATTATAAACAGAAAGAAATCAACTGTAGGCGACCCAATAAAATGGGGCAATTTTGAATCCATAACTTATCACAAAGATAAGCCATTGATTTTACATGCTAGAGAATACCACCCACTTGAAGCTCCGACTATTGAAATATCTCTCCGTAAACGTAAAATTGATACGCGATCATAAAGCGATAGCTCGAATGAAAATGCGGCAGAAAAAATCAGCAAAAGCCTTTAATGTTTCAAACGCTTCGGATGGATGGCGCTGTCAGAAGCTCTCTGAAGTACATTAGAAGTGGTGAATGTGATTATGACAGATCATATTCTTTGAAATGGAATGACAGGGAAAAAAGACGGCAAGAAACGAATTTCTCACCGCATAAAAACCCTCATTCGAAAAAAAAACAGTTGAAAGAAATGGATAGTAAATAACAAGCAATGAGGACACGTGCAAATAAAAGCACATTACTTCTTCGCCGCCACGCTCTGCAATAAGTTCAGCAATGAAATTAAAAGGAAATGGGAAGAAAGATTCCGCGACCACCTGTTGACGTTCCATTTACACCCTGGTTTATGCCCATGATTTTGTCATACTTTTCTGTGACAACTCGTCTGCTAGGATCGCCAGGTGGTTCAACAATTTCACCATCCGGCGTATCTCCACCGGCCATGAAGGACACTGCCTGATTTGGTGGCTTAGATGACATATACCTTGCATCACAACGTCTTAATAAGTTTGGTTCGCGCACTACTCCATAACCATAGGTAGTTACAACTTCTGACGGATTATTATTATTATTAATTCGTTTTCTTCATGCTTACATCTAGTTGTACAATGGTTGAGATCTACTATTTAAATTACTATACAAATTATGACCACATTACTCAGGGCACAACATTGCAATTGTTTTTTTTTTCATTATATTCATTGCACAATATTATCACATTCTCATTCATTTTAAGGCAATTTGAAGAGAAAAAGAAAGAGAGTTAGTAGGCGTTAGTTTTTATAAATTAGGAGAGAAACGACTGCACGAACGATCACATAAAAACTATTTCCTTGAGTCGCTTCTTAAATGTGTAAAGAGAACATTCAGTAGGCAAATGGTTGGCATGTTCGTGATAGAGCTCAGTGCAATTACGGTAAATGCTTTCGAGTCCAAGATTGGTACGTGCTCTTTCAAAACACGGCCTTGTGTTAGTACTCGTCGGATATCTATGGTTGCTTGTGCTGTTGACATGATATTCAGTTTTCATTAGTTCCTTTCGAATTTTTTGAATCATTGATATATTATTGTTATACTCATTTGTGGTTCTTTTTAGGCACTACATGAAATGTAAAGTCTATTGATTTAGTCATTTTTTTTTCAGACATAAAATTAAGCCGTATTTTGTGTGCGAACGGGTTTTCCGATTTGCATGTTCTACACATCGTTGGAAAGGTCTTGGTTGGCGGAAGTCCGTAGGGACTATCTCGGCTTATCATGGTCATGTTAACACGACTCAACAGCATTTTCTCATATGAATAGTCAATATGAGTATCATATGAAAGGCCTTGGAGCAGAGATGAACATGGACACCATCTCGGTCCATCATGGTCATGTTAACACGACTTACTCAACAAAACCCGCCGCACATAAAGCAGTAGTGCAGCCGTTCTATTTGCACTTCAGAGATGTTCGCTTACACACAGAAAAGAATCCCCGGAAATTTTAGGTGTTCGCCGTAAAATTTGACATTTATATATAAATTTCTATGTACATTTTATCGGAAACACTTGAAATTTCCGGGCGATGACATAATTTCAAATATTCCGACAGAAATTAGCGCCATCTGTCATTTCAAGCGGTAAAATATATATAGTATTTGATAAAATGTTCGAAAATATGTCATCGCCCGGAAAATTGAAGTGTTGCTGGTAAAATGATATAGAAATTTATATATAAATGTCAAATTTTACGGCGAACACCCAAAATTTCCGGGGATTCTTTTCTGTGTGTATACATCGCTCGTTCATCGTGTTTCTTATGCGCCGAACGCTCCATAGCAACTCATTCCATCACTGTAACCATGCAAATTTTGCCTTTGTTTTCATTCTCTGCATCTTCCGTGCGTCGTATGGAACTCGGCTTTGAGCGTTCGGCGCATACATACACACACATGTCTGTGTACTGATTTCGTTCGTACGGAACACGATGAACGGGCGATGTATAACCTTCACTCCGTGTTTGTGTCTCACACCATATTCCCGTGTATCGGGCATACAGTGCCCGTAGCGCTTTTTTTATGAAAACTGGACTGTGCTAAGAGATAAATATATGGTAATTTTGGTGAAGTTGTAGGGCACCTTGAGCACTATAACTTTGCTGAAGACATCAAGTCGTTATCTCTTATCAGTTACTCTAAATCCGCGAAAAACCGCGAAAAACGCGAGTTTTTTCTTATCATTTCTTATGGATTTGATAAGATATAACGAAACGGTTTTTTAACAAAATTGTAGAGCCGGTTGAGAACTACAATTTTTCCTGTTATGTATTTGAATGAATACTTCTGTTTAGTTGAAGTGTTAGATCAAGACTGATTATTTATTATTGAGTCTACTATAACTAGTATGACATATTTTACAATGATATATAGATTATTTCATCAATACACAACATCTCTCCCCTTTAAAGAAAAGATGGATGTTGATATGTTTCGATATTCGTCCTTCTTCCTCTTTTCCATAAGAAAAGTTGTTGAGGTGTTACGAAGTTGATTTTGTGTTTTCAAATTCGCCAAAATATTTCAGCTCTTCTTCGATTGAAAAGTGAATCGTGTAGGCAGGAATTTGATGTAAGTTCGGTGATTGTTTCTTTTCAAGGTTGAGTGTGCCTTGAAAATCTTGCATTCGTCGGGATTTTCTTGAAATTTCGAATTTTTGTTGAAAATTTTACTCAATTCTGGTTCTGATGAGTTTTCCTTCTCATTGATGTATCGGATGAAAGTGGCCAATTTAATGCACCGACGGAGCAGCTGCGTCCATGGATTGCTGTCTTCGAATATAACTTGCGGGCTGGCGGCTTACGGCTTATAATTGAAAGATGAATCCACAAGAAAGATGCGTGCGTGAAACGACTTACTTCTAGACTTCTTGCTGGAGGGCTGTTTTATGGCACTTCAATCGATGAATTACTTGGCGATCTCTGATGTAACTGAACTTGTAGAGTTGAAAATTGAATGATCGTCCGATTTTAGTTTATGAATCGAATTTTGTCTTAAAATTGATTCAAATGTGTTAGAGCCTAAAGTTGAGTCTTGATTACAGAAAGTATTCAAAAGGTTCGTCCGTGAGGATTTCCAAAGCCCATTGTCGCCAATTGTTATGTATTTGAATGAATACTTCTGTTTATTTGCCCCTCGAGTTGAAGTGTTAGATCAAGACTGATTATTTATTATAAAGTCTACTATAACTAATATGACATATTTTGCAATGACATATAGATTATTTCATCAATACACAACATTTCGTTATCTCTTATCAGTACCGTGAAAAATGATAAGAAAAAACTCGTGCTTTTCGTAGTTTTTAGCGTTACTGATAAGAGATAACGACTTGGCGTCTTCGGCAAAGTTATGATACTTGATCCACTCTACAACTTTGCAAATACTAATTCGTTATCTCTTATCAATTACGCGGAAAACCGCGGAAAACGCGAAATATCAGCATAAAATTCAAATTCACCATAATTTGTTTCATCAATCAAAAAGTATTAAGAAAAAAAAAAAAGCAGATTAGTAGCTCTACCTTTCATGTAGTGCTAAAAAGGCCATCATGGAAGGCCATCGTGTTATAGCACTTATTAGTATGAGGAAACCATGTTGAAAAAAACAATTTCGAAAAAAAAACACCAAACCGGAACATATCGGGCACTATGATGTAGGTCATGAAATGTAATAATAATTACTGTTTCTTTGTCATTTCAAATTGTCTTCTCCAAAATTGTTTCGATTTCTAATGATTTTAGATACAACTTCTAAAATTCGATTGCACAAATACGCAAAAGTAAGGATTAATTATACAATCAATTCCGCATATAAAATAAAGGCTAATGCGAATTGAATTAAGACATTCGGTATAAATTTTAAAAGGCTATCATATGCCGCTTGAATCGCTACCATCGCCACAAACAAAACCGTTGTGAGTCTGACTTTTTTTCAATACAAAATAATCCGTAAACATCTTCTAATGAAAAAAAAAGTTAGAATAAAATTG